CCAAATGCAAATGAAGGAGGGATCAACAAGTTATTGAAAATCATTTTTCTCGCCAAGTCGAATTGCTTTATCAATGATTCGGTGAATGTATCTATGTTAAAATCGCTTTATTTCTGTCCTAGTTGATCCTGATTCGACATTAGAAGTATATTGATTTTTCCGGTTTCGAGAGCATCCACCAATTTTTGGCGACTTTCACTTTCAACCCGATTCACTGAAGTTAGCCTTCGTGATTCAGATGTTGCTGCTGCTCGCTAGGCCTTCGGAACAAAGGTGATTCTATTCATGCATGATATGGCTAAGACAACGTTGTCTTAGATTGAACGGCCCCCTTATTCAACCAAGCAAAAGAAGCCTTTGGTACAACATGTTGAAGTTAAGGTTTGGAACCCTTGCAACTATGATAGAAAGTCGTCGATGAACAACAGGTGAATATTCCTGTACTACCCCTTGTTGGTTCCGAGGGACGGAGGAGGCTAGGTTAGCCGAAAGTCCGTATCATGGTCTACTTGTTACAAAAGGCGAACTACCCACAATCAAATAGAAAGACAACGGCGAAAGCACAACCGCATCTGATCTTTGAATAGGAAAAAGAGTGGATCTGCAGGATCCCCTGTAAAATCAGTTGAAGATGATAAGACCTAATCCGGCTTTCCGTGCGATATCCCCTTGCTAAAGGCCTATCTCTCATTTGAGGTTCCTTAGCTTTGACGAAATCACAAAACCAGCACATCCATAAGAGCGATCCTTCAAAAGTTTAGATTCAATGATACTGACACACTCTTTATTCTCAAGCCAAGAATTGTAGAATCGAAAAGGTGAAGGTCCCCAATTACAATCACCTGCATCTAGGATAATAGGGAAATGATCTGATGTTATTCTCTCTCCTCTACTTACACTTGAAGTGTTGAACAAGTTGTCCCATTCTCTGGAATGGAAAAATCTGTCCAGTAGTGAATGAGTTGAATCATCTCCCATTCTTGACCATGTGAACTTCCCATTAGACAATGGAACTTCCAATAAGTCTAGCTCTTCAATTATTCGGTTAAATTTCCTCATGCTTCTGGTAATACGCGCTCCCGAAGATCTGTCCGATGACCATCTTGTGACAGTAAAGTCTCCACCCAAACACCAAAATTTCTCACTAAAGCCTGCAATATCTCTGAATTCGGACCATAGTCGCTTTCTGCCTTTATTATCTGACGGACCATAAACATTTGTTATCACCACATCCTTCAAGTGTGAAAAAGATACTTCTATAGATACTGAGCAACACCCCTCCAAAACTTCAGTCACCTTGATTCTGCTCTCATCCCATTAAGATGCCTCCAGCTTTTCCTTCCGAATCTAAACATGCCCATCTGACATCTTTAGAGCTCCAAATGGATTTTATTATACTACAGTTAACTTGTTGAAGCTTCATTTCCTGCAATAAGACCACATCTGGGTTGTATTTCAAAATAGTCTTCTTTACTTTTATTCTCTTCTCAGAGTTGTACGAACATTCCATGACATTATTTTCATGCCACTGATTTAATAGGGGATAGAGAAATCCCTACAGTAGCCAAATAGGGGACAGATCTGCACACTAGAAGAAGGTTCGGATTTTTCCTCGTTATTTTCCTCAGAAACAGACTTCACGATCAAATCTGCAAGGGCAGCAACTAAATCACTTTCAGTCCCTTCAAATAGATGATTGAAATCTTTTCCAAAAGAATAATTATAAAAGTCAAAAGTGCTCATCTCTTCATCTTCGATTACTTTAGGGGAATCTGGGCTGCTGATACTTCCAATAAAGCAAAAGTGCTCATCTCTTCATCTTCGATTACTTTAGGGGAATTTGGGTTGCTGATACTTCCATTAAAGCCATCATCAATATCAGAATAATCTGTTGCATCTTGGTTTCTTGGTTGCATATTTGTGGAATTAATATGGCCCAATGTGATTGATGATGTATTTTCCAACGTCTCTTTATTTGTGGCCGTGCCATCCTTGTTCTTTTCTAAGAAGAGGAGCATATCCGTACTAGGAGGGACAAAATCCTTGATTTCGGAGGGGATAGATTTTTCTATCGAATCAAAATCCCCTAATTCCCCAAAATTTTCTCTCTCTCTTTCCTCGTTAAAGGCCGTTTCCAAATTTAGATTCATATTTAAAAGGGCCAGTCCAACGGTTTGTAAAGAATCTGCCCCTTTACTTAGTTTTGCAGAAGATTTTCTTCTTGTATAATGATAGAGCAGAGGTGGAATAAATTTCCTTGGCAGAAAATTCTCGATTTCAAGTTCATCATTCACCTGTTCACTTAACAGTGTCCCCGTGATTTCCTCCCTAAAATCAGACTCCATTATCGGAGATCTTAAATCACCAATTCATGGTTCATTAATAGGGGAAACCGTGTGATTTAAGGGTGACTCTTGCTCTTCCCCAACAAATTCTCTTTCTTCATTAATCATCTCTATTTTCGTGGAATCCTCAATTCCGGCTGGCTGATTAAGGTTGCCTTCCAAAACGTCTTCTTGTATTCCCAAGTTTAAATATTTTTCTTCTTCAGGTTGCGACCTTTCAGCTTCCACATTATTCCTTATAAAATTTGTCCGTTCATCTTCCAAAATTCTTCAAATTCTTTCGACATCCAGGGGGTTTGATAATTCCTCGTAATTCATATTCGAGATGCCTGAAACTTCTGAGAGTGGACGATGATTAGTTGCAACCCTAATCGTAAAGGACCCATACTTCTCATCATCAATGGTCACAGTAGCCGGAATTAACCCACAATAATTAGGTTTAACCTTAATGAAGGCTTCCGAGGCATTCAACATGTTAAGCGTCTTTGAAGAGATTTTCAACATGCCACCAAAATGTCTTCCAATAGCTTCAAAGGTCGCTCAAGACCAGTAATACAATGGAAGGTCTTTTATGGTTATCCAACCACTGTACCTTGTATGAACTCGCTTCTATTGTGCAGGTAAGGGCTCCATTTTTCGAGTTTCAAGTGAAAGTTTCCTATCTTCCTCCATTTTCTCGAAAGTTCTCCACGTTTAAGGATCCTATCATTTGTAAATCTCAAAAGTCCCTTGTCAACCATGATAGGATTTATCACACATTCAATTGTGAATTTCTCTTTTAGAGCCCTGGTAATTGCATTCCAATCATCATGCGCGCAACCTTTTGTAACCACCATTAGACGGTTCCAATCCAAATCCAAAACCTCTGTTTCTTTTCTAATCCAATAGGAATGGTCCTTTCCATTTTTAAATGTTCTTGACTCCCCTTTAATTCCTTGGATTTCGTCTGAGGACCTGTGAGTTAGATTCTTGTCTTTTCCAGCTACCACGTCAGCATAGGTCCTATCAATTCTTGGTGGTCCTTTCTGCACTTCTCTATCAGACCCCTGGTTTTTCAGCTTTCCCATTGATGTTACATTCCTTTCATCAGCAAAATGAACATCTCTTGCCCTCTGTGACGCTTGATCTTCTGATATCCTGACCAAGAACGAACGATTTCAGCATCCTCCGGAATACCTGCCCTCCATCCTCCTTCAATCCAACAGGGACAATAGCACTCCTACGACCCCTATGGAAGGCCATACCACCCATTCCAAAAACCAAAGACCTCTACTTCTGAACTTTTGCATTCGACACTGCCCTAGCTCATAACGAAGCTGAAAGAATAATGAGACATTAATTGGTTGCTGAGTAACATCCTTAATATGATTTTTGAACCACAAGAATTGCGAAGAGTGTAAAGACATCAGGACATTCCTTTTCACATCTTCTAACATGAACTTTCCGTTTTCAACCCAAATGCAAAATAATGAATTCATCAATACGGCAACTACTAATTTCCATTCTTAATTAGCTCGAATAGAATTCTTACTATGGGACTAAGAAGGATCTATGAACAGGTTGAATCGGAACCCCTTACCAAATCAGAATCCGCAGGTTGGAAGAGAAGGAGAGAATAAGAAATATGTACTGCGATTCAATCTTTCACAAAATTGGAGAAGGCTAATCAAGTCAGAAAAATTTTCTCTCTCTTTTGGTATCTATAGATAGCTAGTTTAGCAACTATACTACCTTTAAAATTAATACAAATTTGGGAGGTTTTTGTGCAAAGTGGTGCATGTGAATGAAATCGCTTCCCCGGGTATCACCTAAACCTAGGTGTGCACTTGTCTATGATTTTTTAGAACAGTGATCACAAACTTATTGCCAACCTGCTTACACAGTAAGTTGAGGGGAAGAAACATACAACATAAACTGACCTTAAGCAATTGTGGCAACAAAAGCAAACATTCTCGGAGGCACTTGTCAAGGAAGAAATCATGATGTTGGATAACCTGATAAAATGAGGTTATCATATTTACACACAATAGGCACGTTAGGAATAGAATAGACAATAAAATTCTTATCCCTACAATATAGGTATTAGAAGGGAATGCACCTCATCAATACTCTTCGCAGTCTGAATCCGGTTGTGCATTACGTGCCAATTGGGTTCAAGAACCTAAAACCAAGAAACATGCCAAAAATCAAATGCATATTCCATTTCCATCAAGGCAAAACGTAATGGCATTGACAACGAAACATATAGAGTAGGATTTTATCCCAACAGCATGCATCAGTAGGGTCAAGAAAGGAATTAACTATCAGTATCAACCCTAAAAAACCAGCATGTAGGTTCAAGGCAAGCTGATATACCATTAGGATAGGTTGGGGATATTATTAGGATATTAAGGGTATATTAGTAATTGGGTTTGGGAGTTGGTTATAAATAAGGTGAGGGGGAAAGGATGAAGGTAGGCAATTAGTAGTATGGTTTAGGCTTGAGTAAGAATACTCGAGAGAAGATGGGAGGGTCCAAGTACCTCGAATTACTCGATAGTTCTTGTCGTTTCTATATCTTTTATATTTCAATATATTGTGTTTTGTTCGGGTTCTATCACAAGCATCATCATCGAACAATGAAAAATTAATTTTCGGAAAGGGAAAACCTGCCTCAAAGGTCAAATAATGAAGAAGGCTATTAATAAATTTAAGCATTGCACGGCAGAGTAAGGATGATCTTGAGATGGAAGTACCGCGGATATCAAGCGAACGAACCCCCTGCCATAGATTATTATTTGTGTGAAAAATGTAGGTACTAAATGACCATCTAACAAAGGAAAAAAGAAAACCAAGCCCATACTTGATGCACTTGCCATGCCCCACAAAGCTGACGTTCCACATGTTTGCAGTGGAAAAGAAAGCGAAAAATCAGCTGGTACTTTGATAGAGATTTCCATGATATAACAATAGACAACGGCCATCTAACCTGAAAATTGAGTCCACTTAAAGATATACAAATGCAAATAAAAAATATAAATCGATGCAACTAAAAGATGGTAGTCTTGATTCAAGCCAAACATTAGTTTAAGGATGCCCTTGAGGTTTGGCAAGAATCAAGAAACTAGTACCTATTTCTAATAATACAATGCCTTATATTGTATTAATTCAGCCTGCTATCAAAAAAAAAAAGCATTAACTCAGCCTTCCTCTTTTACTCTCTCTCTCTTTCATCTCCTCGTCTCTCCCCATTTTTTTGGAGGAGATTAGAAGAGTGTATTCAAATGTGATGGGAACAAAGCCCTCGAGCCAGACAGTTTCACTTCAGCTCTTTTCTTTTTCAGAGAAAATTAAAAATTATCAAGGATGATTTACCCAAAGTTCATAGGGAATTTCTCAAGAGAGGCATCATAAAGTAGGCTTATGGATTAGTTTGTAATTGTTTTAACTTTTACTTTGTTTAATTACTAGGATTAGGTAGTAATTATTATTAATTTTTACCTAGGGTTATTTTTTTACCTTTAGGGTAACTAATGTAATTTAATCCCCCCTAACCTATTAAGGTGAAGGTTTCCTTTTAGTATGAATCCTTCTGCAATTAATAAGATAAACTCATTTTTCTTCCTCACATTTCCAAGCTCAGGAGAGCTCCGCCTTCAAGACAACTCCACCCTAAATGAACTTTCAAATTGGCCTTTCAATCATGGCTGCAACCTTACATGACCTTCCAAGGAGAGAAAGCAAGTAAATTTCTATATAAAGTATGCTAGTTTAATTAATATACATTGTCCAGCGAATTATATTTGCTAATTTTTTTTAAGATCAAAATTTTCACCTCAACAAATTAATACCCAACCTAAGAGTTTGATTCAGAAGACTGATCCAAAACCTCAATCTGAAAATAATCGAAAGGATTGGCCCTTCGATAAGCATATTAATATTCATGGGATTCCATCTCAAAACCAATTGGCAATGAGAGGAGTAGCCTATGTCTATTATAAACCCTTGTTAGGTCCCTTATCTTATCAATGTGGGATCCTTAACATACCCCCACAAGATCGTAGCTCTTTTGGCTCATCAATCTTGGCCGGATCCCATTTTTGGATTAGATGCTTGTTTGAGCGTTTTGAGTTCTCATACCATATCAAGGATGAATAAATCATCATTCAAACCCAAAAGCTTAAGCTTATGAGTTGGGTAAATTTAAATTATTTAATTCATTTATAGATATCTAACACAGCCAGGACCACAGCCTAGGTTGACTAATACCAAGTCGGGTTGGCCAGATCAATTTACAAGCCATTTAATCTGTAGCAACACTAGTTTAGAAATAAAATAGTAGCACGTTTGGCGTAAGAATACAACACATTCATATTTTTTAGGAAATTTGGGCTTGAAGTAGCATTGAGAACGAAAAAACATGGGAAGAAATAACTTTTCATAGCCACTCGATAAAATTACCTTGTAACTTAAAGAAAATGCCTCAAGACCAGTAATGCCCATGGGTTCTTCCTGATCATTGCTATCAGGAATAGTTGTATTGTCACCAAGATCCTTAAGTGCACGCAAGCTTTTGGGTAATGACGTTCTTTCCTGCAGTAAATTGAGAAATGAAGAAATCATGCAGATTCTTGGTATTTTCTGCATCATACAAAGAATAATTTGCAATCAGCTTACCACACAACATGTTAAATCCTCATGACAAGGATCTGCTGCAGCCGCTGTGGTGCGTAAGGCAACATCCAGTAGAGACTAGTTGGCCATGAAGGCACATCATTTGATAATAATGCAGAAACATTGTTCATTAGGCGATAATTGGTACAAAGTTGGCCTGAAAGCCAATAGATGGTGGTTAAGATCAAACCTGCAACTTCTCTACAGAAATCTCATCAAGCTTTTTTGAAAGTTCATCTCGAGCAATGTCCATAAAATGAACCAAGAAATCACCCTGCAATCATGTAATATAATTTTTTAACCAATAATTAATTAAAAAAAACCCACATATGGGAAAGCTTCAACACAGCTTCCAAAACCCTGTGATCAGCCTTCCTCCATGGCAAAAGTTTTCCTTTGTCAATATCCCAGAAGGGAAGATATTGAATTCCTTTACTTAATGGATTCATGTTACACTATGCCAGTTCCACATACCAACATAAAACTTGACCCTACTTTTTCAATTTTTTCAGTAAAGAAAATTAGAAAAGGATAATGCTTGTGGATTAATAAGTATACAATACTTAAATGCATTCTAAGCCTACTATCCCTTCGGAATAAAATGTCATTAATGGAATGTTTCCTAGAACTTATATTGATATCCTATGATTATAGAGGACAGCAAAGTTAACTCCAATCAAAGATAATATACCTGATCAAGCAGCAGGTAATGCTTAATTGATCTCAGCTTCCCCATTAGGTCATACTACACGGACAATATCAAAATTCAAAATTTGTCACTATTGTAAAGAAATTACCATGGATGACAGCTAGAAAAATTATTAGAAGAAAAGACTGTTAAAATAAAGATAAAAACCAGCAAGAAGCGATACATTGAATGCTACCTTTTCTTTAATAAGTTTTAATAGCTCACTACTGGAAAAGTCATAAGCAGCTTTTACACACTCCAAATACTGATGATTTGAGCCAAAACTCATTAACTTTGAATTTTCTGAAACAGGTACCTGAAAATAGCCACAAAATCATATATTAAAATAAAAATATCCTATTTTTTATTTTATAAAATAACCATGAAAAAAAAAAAGAGACACCTGAACATTATGCCCACACTCTCTCATGACATTTAAATATTTTCCTGTCGTCAATATCATCCCTGCTATATTTGCAAGAAAGGTAGGAATTCCATCCTTCAGACTATAGCGTTGCCTCCAATACTTTGTGTCATAATCTTGATTGAGGCTCTCCTATAGAAACATACTTCATAAGCATGAGAATGACAATTTCAAAATATACTAAAACATTATAGAAAATTGTACCTTCCGTAGAGATTTGTTTTCCGCAATGAAAAATTCACCATAAGGATCATCAATAACTCCCTCATAAACCCATCTGAAATTAAAATTGATTTATATTTTAGTGATCCGATCAAGAAATACTGGAATGGTAAAATGTAGCTGCAAAAAAGAACTTAAAACTAAATTGATGGGCAGATGGAAATTCTGGAAACTATTTTCCAGAAAATGTGAATTGTTGTGAACCCACACTGTGATTACAAATTTGAATTGTGGGACATATATACTTTGAGAATAAATAACCACGTTGTGATAGAAATTGGAGAATTAAGGATACCAAGTACAATGACCAAAATAATATCCTTTTAAGTCTAGTGAGGTTCAGCAATGACCGTAAACAAAAATTCTTTAATAAAGAAGCAACTCTTATTTTCCCCCTCCTTTCCCTTCTTCAGAAAGCAATGTCATAAAAAAGGCATGAGAACTTTAGATGCTGAGAAGTTAGCTCCTCTTAGGATACATACTCTATGCAATAATTTATGAAACATCTCAACATATACAAAATGCATAAAAATGATCTATCATTCATTTAATCATCAATAATGCATACAAATGATCTCAACTTTCTAGTTCACTCACTCAACTTTTTGATCTACAAAAATACACCTTGAAAGGACATCATATTAATTGCACGTATATGATATGAATATTGCATGTGAGAAGGGGAGGATGGAAAACAACAATGTTACAACATATACTTCGACCCATTAGAGAAATTAAAAAAAATAAAAATAATTAAAACTTCCAAATTAGAATTATGCACAGTAGTTATAGTACAAGAAGCCAGTAATGCATAAGGAAATTGAATTTATTTATTGGCGAATCCCTACAGCATCATATCCAATTTTTTCAAAATATCCACACCATAACACCTCTAAACTCTGTATAATGTAAGAATTAGGTCATATTACTTGAACAGTTCCAACTTCTTGGATGGAAATATTTCAAGTATTTTTACACACAAAATTGGAGTCACCTCTAACCTCTGTCAATGGGAGGGTAAGGAAGTTGACCAACCATTAGTAGAAATAATTAGCCTAATTTTTGGAATAGCACAAAAATTGGTAGCAGCTAGCATAACCAACCTTTCTAATATACCAAGGTAAGCATTGCTTGCACACTGTGTCATCTTCTCCAGCAAAGACCTCACTGCATTATCACCAGCCATAGCCTTGGCCTAAACAAGAAAGTAAAAACTTAGCATCATTATAGATTTTTTTTTGTGGATAAAGACAATGTATTCAAAGAACCAAAAAGGGAAGGAACAACCAAGGGAGAGGGTAGAGATCACCCTCCCCCAAGCTCTAAACAATGACAGCTTTCCAATCATTTACAATCAACTATAGGCTATAATTACAAAAGAATTTTTTGTGGCTTAGAGTCCACCAAGAAGTAATATGTTGTACCCTCTAAGGACTTTTTCTCTTCAAAAAGCCTACTATTAATTTCTCTCCAAAGAAGCCAAAGTACCGCCCTAATCACAAAATTGCACAGCACATAGGCCTTGCCTCAAAGAAGCCCACCGCCTAAATTTCCATGAAAAAATCATCAATGTAGCAAGGAAAAGAAAAAGATAAATCCAACTCTGAGCTTGCGAAAGACTATACTTTAACTACAAAAGGGCACTGCAGAAAAAAGGGGATCCACTGTTTCTAACATATAGTTACAAAGCCCACAAATAGGAGATAGAGCTCAAAACAGAAACCTCTTCTGTAACCTTTCCGCAGAATTCATGCTTTTGTAGAACAAAGACCATAGGAAAAACTTCACCTTCTTCGGAACTTGAAAATTCCAAATAAAATTCACCACTGGAGCTTTTAATTTAGGCGAAGGATTAGTCGAGAGGGAAAATGCTGATCTAGCCGAGTAGACACCGCTACTATCAGCCTTCCACCATAATCTATCTATCCCATGGCCAATCTGCACGGACTCCAACTTCTTAGTTAGGCCTGCCCACCTAGGAATCTCCCTATCAAAAATGTTCCTACAGAAGCACAAGTCCCAACAAGAGGTAGCTTCCACCAAAACAATTAGCAATCAAACACTCTTTTCTAGAAGATAGCCCATAAAATTCAGGAAAAACGTGGCGAGAGGGGAGGAATCGGTCAAGTCATCTTTCCAAAACTACACCCTCATCCCCATTTGATGCTTTGAAAACCACAAAGTTAAGGAAAATCTGTCTGTTCTTGTCTACATCAATCCAGGAAATGAACCTTTGACCAATTTAGTAATCCACCCATGGGGCTAAAGACCAAAAAATGGCTACAATGACCTTTCAGCACAACCTGTCCTCCTCATGAGCAAAACACACAGCCATTTGTGGAGGGCACAATTCCTCTGCTTCGAAAGAGCCAACACCCATCCCTCCTTGTTGCTGCAGCAGAGACATCCACTCCCAATTTACCATATGACTTTCGTGGCTAAAGGATCCCCCATTTCAAATAAAATCTCTCATAAGCTTCTCCATCACCTGAATGACCGTGTTTGGCACTTTGAGAATGGAGAAGTAGTACACAGGAATGTTGTTCAGAATCGCTTGGGCCAAAGTAAGCCTTCCCTTTCGATAATTTTTTTTTTTTTAACAATATACGAACTTTCATTGATAGATGAAAAGGAACAAAATTGTTCGAAGATACAAACTCCGTAAGGTCAAAAGTAAAGAGGCCTCCATTTATCAAGCCTTGCTCTCATTTTATCCGGGCAACATATGGTCAGAAGTAGTAGTCCTTGGAAATCTGTGGTCGCTTGCAAAAAGATATACAGGCAATTTATGCCTATTACAGTTAGCAATAGAGCCAACACTCACTTATCCCCATTCCTAGGGTTTCCTAGTTGACCCGTGATTAAAAGAAAAAAAATGCCAACATGCTCCAAAGGAGGTAGGCTCACAACCTCATTGTCCCAAATTGGTGTATTCCACATCAAAGGAGCTTTGAAACTTGGGAACATTTGTCTTTGTTGTCTCCGTACTTGGTGAGTTCCATTGTTCTATGTTTAAGGCATTCAACCTTGCTTAGTGCTTACCATCCATGCTACTGACAAAGCCCGGATCAATTTCTCCATGGACACTTCCTTTAGATGGAAAGTAAAGATTTTCTGGCATTAAGCTGTCAAACCTTTGGTGTGCAAGTTCTAGTAGGAAAGAATCTACAGAATTCTCAAAATTTGAGGTAGAAGCGAGAATAAAATATAAGACACTACTATTAGGGCTGCATTCTAAATTCATCTGTAATTATCATTCTTTATTATCAATATCATTTGGAGGAACTTTTTGCAATCCCACGGCACTATGATTAAATTCTTTCATTTCTTTGTATTTTTGGAATAAATACAAGTTTGTACCTGGCTCTGTAAGAGGTTAAGAACTGCAGAACCTGCAAAATCATTAGCTGAAGCCTGCCGAGTCACTGCAGATAATGCTTGCATGGAACCCATCATAGGCTGCAATGCATAATACGTGAGAGGGCATACTTGAAATGAATTTGTAGATTAAAAGAAGCTCAAACCTGACAGTAAAACCACAATCCTTGGATGGAAAGTCTACCAAGTCGAAACTGGTGCTCAAGCTGGGCTACCATTGCTTGGTAATCCTATGGGACAAAAACAGGAGCGTATCATACAATGTTCAATTCAACATATTTTGAGACTCTTAACATATTACATAATTATCAGACTCAACATAATCTTATGGAACAGTGTTCAAGCTTCTTCTTGGTGTATTTTATCTTCTCCCTTTAGTAATTATTCTGTTACTGTTATTGTATCTTGTTTCAAAAAGATATTACATCACATGACATATGATGTTCCTTTTTTTTAATAATACTATGTACTTCCTTTATCTAATAAGAGTATAAAATAGTTCATAAGATCAGATTTGATTCTCAAGAGCTCAGACACTAGACTTTATATTTAAAAAATACAGGAACATGTACCATTCTTGGAATCGAAACTCATCAAGGCAGTTAGGTGGTTTCTAAGTCTCTTTGATTTGCTCTAAGTGTCAGCAGGTTTTACACTAAAGACATTGGTGCCAAGAGTGGATCATTGCAATGTAGGTTGATTCTACTTTTATTACTGAGGTGGTCCGTGGTGCATACACAATTTCTCTTAAATTGTCTTTGCTAGATGGTTCAGAAGGGTGGACCACCAGTAATGTATTGTCCTGCTTCTTTATCTTAAAAAGGACTGATTTCCAGATAGAGCTGGGATATGCTCAGATTTATGGATTTTGTAGGGAGACTTTATAAGGTCTTGGTAAAGATAAGGCCCGGATCCGGATGGATTCACTTCAGAATTTTTCCAAAAAATTTGGAGTTACTGGAAGGATGATTTCAAAAGATTCTTTGTTGAATTACCATAGAAATGGTCATTTGAATGAGTGTACTAACAAGAAAATATTATTTGTTTGATACCAAAGAAGGATAAAGTGGTTCAGGTAAAAGACTTTCGCGCCATTTCTAGATTTCAGAAATGAAGGGTCTCAAAGAATGTCAGAAGCACCTTAGATCATTTTCTCATTCTCTTAGTGAAGGCTATCTTCTCATAGAGTCCTAGCACCTTCAATTTCGAAAAATGTTGGCTTCGACAGAAGTCCTTTATGCCTTCTTTGAAACAATGGTGGAGTGTCACTAGGAATGAAGGATGGCAAAGGTTTAACTCTACACATGTTATCTTTCTTAGGGATAAAAGGAAATTATAGGTCTAACCATAGTTGCATCAAAAATGCTCTCTAATAAAATTCATTAAAGTCCTTCAGCTAGTAAAATGTTTCAGGGAAAAGGAGGGAGAGAAAGGAGGAAGAAAACCCATATAAAAGACATCAATTCATGTTTTACCTCCTATTTTCAGTTAGGAAACAAAATTTCTACTTCTTACCCCCAAAAATGGAGGGAATTGAAGAAAGAGAAAATATAAAGGAATTGTGTGTTTATAATGTATCTTCACAAATTATCTGCATTACTTTGGACAGATTGTTATTTCTTTTCATTTGAAGTACAAAATTAATATTGAAGACTATAATATAAAGATGACTTGTGGTTGTGTGTTCGAGCCCCAAATGGATACAAGGATGTACTGGTAGGATGAAAAAAAAAATAGGAAGGTGCAGTTTCCAGCTTTACTCAAAATAATACAGTTTTTACATCACAGTTAAAAACAAAGCACTTACTAGAAGGAGAGCTCTAAGTGCAGCAGCAAAGGCATGATTAACTAAGCCCTTCTTGAACTGAGATCTTGATTCAACAAACAGATTAATAATCAGAAAGCTCTCACACAGAGGAAATATTCTTTTTGCCAACTCCTGCAATGTTAGCCTTAATTAGCAAAACAAGAATTTAGTGGCAACATCATCATGATCATGTAAAATGATAATAATCCATAATGGGGGTGATTGTATTCATTACATTCTAAAAGTTCTCACGGATTAAGGAAGGTAATTCAAATTCCATTGTGCAGGAAAATCCTTAAAATTCCATAAGGAAGTATTATTGTCGATACATCTCCCAGGAAGAACAAAAGGAATGATGGTTTACAGAATGCAACTCATCAAACTGCTTCTTGAAAAATCTTCAGCATTATAATAATACAATATCTAAATATCCCCTACACTTGTTCGACATAAACTATGAACAATTGCAAGGAAGTCATCATGTGGTATCAAAGCTTGTATAAATGTACAAAATCTGCTAGATAATACAGTTCCTGGAAATAAAATTTGACAACTATGTCCATGACCCCACATAAATAGATATAAACTGAACCATGTTTGATAAGAACTTAGAGGTCCATGATACCCAGTTTGTTGCTGTCTCATTCATTTCTTTTAACACCACCTAAAAGAAAGCAAATTATCACCGGGTAGCAAATTAGCACAATAGTTATATTCTTCAGTACAAAATTTGAAACAATAAACCTACTAACCACACCTACAAATGCAAAGTACTAAAATAGTAATAATAACTAAATAAATCAAAACAACAACAGCCTTAGTAACTTTCCATGCCCCAAATGGCTACCTGGAGAGCCAAATCCATAGATGCATCAACCAGGAAAGAAACTTCATCCTCTTTGCCGTGAAGTCTTTTGATTGAAATATAGCGTCCCTCAACTCCAAGCAGGGCAGAAAGGAGATCATCAATTACAATAAGTTCCTACACAATGTAAGCGTGACAGAAAACAATTATTTTTTTCAGAAACTGTGATGAAAATTTCAAAGATAAAAAAAATACTGAAAACCCAACTCTTCTTCTTTACAAAAAGAAAATAATAAAATAAAATAAAGTTACTTTCATTATAAAAAGAGAAAAGTACAAAAAAAAGGGAGATGAGATATCTCCACAAGCCAAAAGGTTACGAAAAAGACTCTCAATTGGCAAAGATTTTAACTAGATCCCAAAAGGCAGCTCTATCCAATTCTTCTTTATGGAATGTTTCTTTCACACTCTTTATGAGCCCACGACTGCACTTGACCAAAAATATTCACTCGACCTTTGAAACTTGTCCCCAAAACGTGCTGTACAAAGGCTTCTGCCGCGTTGTTAGGGAAAACCCAGCTAAGGTTGAGAGTAATTTTGCCCAACAACCAGCAACAGAAGGGCAGTTTAGGAAGAGGTGTGTTTCATCTTATCCATTCTTTCTACACAGAATACACCAATTCAGAGAAATATACGATGTGAGAATTAATTTCTGAAGTCTACAACGTCTTGAGCCTATTTTTACCAAAAATCCACAATAAGACCTTAGGTTTTTAGGAATTTCCAGCTTCCAGATAAAGTTTCTAAAAACTAAGGATAGAGACCAGAGAGACATATAAGAGAAAAGAGAAAAGAAATAAATTCTTTATTTCTCAAATTGATTGATCAAAGATGAGGAATAGACGCACTATATATAGGTTACAAGAGATCTAGGAATAACCTCCTAACTTCCCTAACAAAAAAGGAGATTTATTTGCTAAATTTAAACACAAAATCTAAACAACTTTAAAACAACTTCTAACTAAGTCCACATAATCTAGAATTCTAACTAATTCAACACTCCCCTCAAGCTGAACTCTACAGATTGAACAGTTTCAGTTTGACCAACAATCTTTCAAACACGGGCCTCAAGAGTCCTTTTGTTAGAATATCTGCAGCTTGATCTGATAATGGAACATACATCAGATTTATAATTTCCTCTTCAATCTTCTCCTTGATAAAATGTCTGTCAACCTCAACATGCTTAGTACGATCATGATGCACTGGATTGTGTGCAATAGCAATTGCAGCCTTGTTGTCACAATAGACTTCCATTGAACTATCAAACCTGATCTTGAGTTCTTGGAGAAGGAGTTTCGGTCACATTATCTCACAAATACCATGAGATAATGCCCTGAATTCAGCCTCAGCACTACTTGCAACAACTGATTGTTTCTTACTCCTCCATATAACAAGATTACCCCATACGACGGTACAATATCCTGTCGTAAATCTCCTATCTTGAACAGAACCTGCCCAATCAGCATCTGTAAACACCTTAATCTTTCTGTCATCATCCTTTCCAAAAAATAATCCAAGTCCTGGAGTTCCTTTAAAATATCTAAGAATATGATACACGGCTTCCATCTGTTCTTCAGTAGGAGCATGCATGTATTGACTTACTACACTCACTGCAAATGCAATATCCGGCCTACTGTGGGATAAATAGATTAATCTTCCAACAAGACGTTGATTTCTCCCTTTATCAACCGGTACCCCGTCTAGGCTCTCTCCCAACTTATGATTGGGACTTATTGAAGTATCATATGGTTTACATCCAAGCATTCCGGTTTCCTTCAAGAGGTCTAATACATATTTTCTTTGACATACACAGATATACCAGTTCTGCTCCTTGCGACTTCCATCCTTGGAAAATACCGAAGTGCCCCCAGGTTCTTTATTTCGAACTCCTTTCCAAGTACCTGTTTTAGTCTCTCCATTTCTTCATGATTGTCACCTGTGACGATAATATCATCGACATAAATAATGAGGATGGTAATCTTACCTTGAGAGTGCCTATAGAACATTATATGGTCAGTTTGAGCTTGGGTATACCCTTGTTAAACAGCCTTTGAAAATCGCCTGAACCATGCACATGGGGATTGTTTTAAACCATAGAGAGACTTCTTTAGCTTACACACCTTCCCATCATACTTATCAATGTCAAATCCAGGAGGAAGGTCCATGTACACCTCTTCTTCCAAATCTCCATTAAGGAATGCATTATTGACATCTAGTTGTTGTAGTTTCCAATCCAAATTTGCAGCAAGGGACAGAGGACATGGATTGTGTTTAATTTTGCAACAAGTGCAAATGTCTCCTAATAGTCTACCCCAAAAGTCTGAGAGTATTCTTTGGCCACCAATCTTGCTTTTACCTTTCAATGGACCCATCAGCCTTATATTTGACAGTAAAGATCCATCGGCATCCTACCGTTGGTTTATCTTGAGGACGATCAACTACTATCCACGTATCATTAAGCTTCAAAGTCTTCATTTCATCATTTACCGCATTTTTCCACTGTGGATTGCTCATAGCCTCTTGAATGGATTTTGGTATCTCATTGGCTTCCAGATTGAGAGCCAAGGTCTGAACTGCTGAAGATAAATGACTATAACCAACACATCGAGCAATTGGATGCTGAGTACACGATCTCACACCCTTCCTAAGTGCAATAGGAAGATCAAGATCATTAGTATTATCTTGAGGCACAAGGGTAGATTGTTCAGTAATCAGTACCTAAGGACGAGATGGATTCATGACTTTGCTGTTGAGGCTGTGGTGGCTCCACTCCTCTTTGAATTGTTTGTCGCCAAGAATAAACAAGAGTCTCAGGTTGCTTGTCACTTCAATTTGGGTTAGCTTGATCATCTTCATTATTACAAAAAATAATAGGAACTGACTCTTCTATCTGAGTAATCGGGACGATCGGGATAGGTACTTTTGACTGAGGGGACTCAATCCTGGTATTTAGATCGTCAATCTCCCAAAAATTTTCATCAAGATTACTTGCAAGGCTCAGTCTCCCCCTGAGGGAAATTCCGGGAGAAAAAAGATCGAGACTCAAAAAATGTGACATCCATGGTAGTGTAAAATTTATTGGTGATTGGACAATAGCATTTATAGCCTTTCTGAGTAGGAGAGTAACCAAGGAAGACACACTTTCTGGCTTTTGGCTCCAATTTGTGACGTTCATGATCATAAACACGAGTGAATGCAGTACATCCAAATATTTTGAGCGGGATTGTGAGGACAGATGGGATTTATGGATAGATAGTGAGTAAGATTTCTAGTGGAGTGTTAAATTTCAGAACACGAGAGGGCATCCGATTAATGAGATAACAAGCAATAAGGACAGCATCACCCCAAAAACGGTTAGGAATAGAATTGGTGAACATGAGAGCACGGCCAGTTTCTAAAAGATGCCTATTTTTCCTTTCAGCTATACCATTTTGTTGGGGGTCATGACACAGGAACTTTGGTGAATGATTCCATTTTGAGACAGGAAAGTTCCCAATGTTTGATTAAAATATTTTGTCCCCTTATCTGTGCGAAGAATTTTGATTCTTGTATTAAATTGATTATGAATGAGAGAATGAAACTATTGAAAGATTGATGCAGTTTCAGATTTTTCTTTAAGTAAATAGACCCAACAAACTCTAGTGTGGTCATCAGTGAAGGTAAAGAACCAACGTTTACCGGACATAGTTTTGATGCGAGACGGCCCCCATAAATCACTATGAATCATTGTTAATTGACTGGATGTTATATACTCGACAAAATGATAAGATGTACGAGAGCGTTTAACAAGTGGACACACTTCGCAAGTAAACAGGTCATCTTTATGAAAAAGTGAAGGATACAAATGTTTAAGATACTGAAAGCTTGGGTGCCCTAAACGGTGATGTAAAAGTAGAATTTGTTGTTCTCTAGAATTTGACTCACCACCAACCTAGAGAACTTGTTTATTTCTTAGATTTGATTCTCTGAAGTAGTAGAGCCCCTCAAAGCCATCAACACTACCAATCGTCGTTCTCGTTATCAAGTCCTGAAACAAACACTTAGAGTCACTGAATAGGGCCTGACACTTTAAATCATGAGTCAACTTCTGAAGAGAAATTAGATTGCAACATAATTTAGGCACATGGAGCACTGAGTGCAATGTAATATTCGAGCTAAGAATAATATAACCAAAGCCCTTAATAATGGCCGATGACCCATCTGCAAGCTTGACATGTGTCTGAATCGGGTTGGGTGAGTACATGGTAAACATATCATGAAAAGCGGTCATATGATCAGTTACACCCAAATCTAAGATCCACTGATCGGAATGTTGCTGACTTGTTAAAGCTGCACTAAAAATACCTCGTTGTGCCACGAAACTTGATGAAGGAGTAGACTCAACCAACAGTGTTAAGAGGCGACAGAGCTGTTCAAGTTGTGCCTTCGAAAATGGAGGGAGAGAGGTGGTCAAATCTTAGGAGTTTGACACACTAGGACCCACTTGATAGTCGGAGGAGCTGGTTCGAGAAGGTGGAGTATTTGTAGGTGGAGGTGGCCGATAATCCCCTGATAAATTCTTCCGTTGACAACGACCATGGAGTTCCCAACACCGATCTTTTATATGGTTTGTGCGCTTACAATGATCACACCATAGGTTGTCCCGTGCCGCCAGAGCTGATGATTCCAGCGAGAGGGACATAGGTTTTGTGGGTGTATCACCCATCATCACACGTTTACGGCTTGACTCCCAGCGGACTTCTTCGAAGATTTCGTCAGTGGCTGGGATTGGCTTTGTGGCAAGTAAGCGGTCACGCACATCATCTAATTCTGAACGAAGACCTGCAAGAAAATCATAAATGCGTTCCTTCTCGACGTGTTTGTAGAAGCGTTTAGCATCCTTCGGGTTCTCCCATTCGAGATTGAGACATAGATCAAGTTCAACCCACAACCGACGTAATGAGTTGTAGTATTGGGTGACATCGGATCACCTTGTCGTAAGGAGCGTGCCTTATTGCGTAATTCAAATAATTGAGCCGAGTTATCAAAATCAGAAAATGTCATAGTGAGCGCATTCCAAAGATCCTTTGTTGTTGAGTAGAAGAGGAATGATTCTTTAATGTCCTCCTCCATCGAGTTAATGAGTCATGCCATGACCATTGAGTTTTGAGCATCCCACACGAAAAAGAAGGGTCAGTTTCATCTGGTTTTGCTATCGTGCCATTGATGTACCCAGTCGACTTCGACCACGGATAACTAGGAGAGCCGATGGAGACCATTGCAGAAAATTTTTCCATTGAGTTTTGGAGAGGTAATTTGGAGCGAAGTGTTTTCAGAGATAGAGATGTGAGGTGTAATGGATGTGCTTGTAGGGAGAGAAATTGAGGTCGTATTCGATCCTTCGGAACCCTCATCCTTGCGCACATCAGTCAACATGGCCGTTTTAACCATTCTGGTATCAATCTAAACCTAGCTCTGATACCATAAAAACTGAGGATAGAGACACCAGAGAGACATACACGAGAAAAGAGAGAAGAAATAAATTCTTTATTTCTCAAATTGATGGATCAAAGATGAGGAATAGAGGCACTGTATATAGGTTACAAGAGGAAACAAAATCTAGGAATAACCTCCTAACTTCCCTAACAAAAAAGGAGATTTATTTGCTAAATTTAAACACAAAATCTAAACAACTTCTAACTAAGTCCACATAATCTAAACTTCTAACTAATTCGACCGTTTCCATCGTTGTGAGCCCTTACCTGCTGATTAACCAGCTTTGGCATAAGATATTTGACAGAAAACAGTCCGAGCATCCAAACCTTTAAGTCTTCATAATTGGCAGGGACCATATCTTAATCTTACCAACTTTGGCATAAGATATTTGAAGATTCTCGTCATTCGTCATTGAAGTATTTTAATCTTGCCAGATTCAAAATATCTCAATGGTGTGCCCTTTCCGATCTTTTCTCTTCCTACTCTCCTAGTATGATTCGTATGAATTGGGAGGCATTTATAACTCCTTTTTAGTTTGATGTTATCTTTGCTTTTTGCTTTTTCTTTTTCACTCCTTTGGGAGTT